AAATGCAAATGAGCATATGCTTTTATAAATGTATGTACATTTATGTGTGTGTTTTGGAATTACTGACCCATAGCCTGGGGAATTAAGGTTTGCTTAGAGGACTACATTGTATGTGTACAGTTCTATTTGTTTGAGTTTGTAGTAAACATTCTGCCTTGTAAACTTGTTCTGTTCTTTTCCCCAAGCCCTTTACTCTTGGTTATGCTCTTTGTAATACAGTTAGTTAACTTGCTACTTTTGTATTTTAGACAGAGAGGGAGAGAGAGAGAGAGAGAGAGAGAGAGAGAGAGAGAGAGAGAGAGAGAGAGAGAGAGAGAGTAGCTAGCATGGGCTTTAAATAATTTTCCTTAACTTTTTACATGTGCTATGCTACCATAATTGTGTCAGTGCTACACAGAGGCATGTACTTAAAATGTGTCACTCCCTCATCATATTGATTATTCAGGCCCATTTCCCCTTCTTTCTACCCTACCAATCTCCTTGCAGGAAACCAATCTATTTTCTGAATGATCCTTCCTGAACTTTTTTTTTTTTGTATAAGCAGGCTGATACATATTTATATTTTTTCTTTTTCTTTTCTTTCTTTCTTTTTTTTTTTTTTTTTTTGTCTTTTTGAGACAGGGTCTACCTGTAGCCCCAGCTGGCCTGGAATTTGCTATGGAGACCAGGCTGGCCTCGATCTCAGAGAGATCCACCTGTCCCTGCCCCTGGGATTAAAGGTGTGCTCCATCATGCCTGGTCCCATGTTTTTATTCTTACATAAAGGATTGTGTAGCATAAACACCTTTTGAAGTTAAGTTTTTCTCTCCTTGCCTATCAGTTTGTCCTGAAATCACTTGCTATCAGGTCATTGAGATCTTTCATTTTTCCACGTCTGGTATGTATAAAATATGGCATAGCCAGATACTTTCCTATAGTTTTTGCATAATGTCTTCAAGATTCATTCACATTGCCTTATTTCATGCCATTCCTTTTTATTGCTGGATGTATTCATTCACCAGTTGATGGGCATTTGGTTTCCATTTTTTCCTCATATTAATGTTTCTGTGAACATTCTCATGCGTATTGACTTCTAAGCTGTGTGTGATGAAAATAAGAGAAATTCTGAAACAAGGAGAGGCTAAAAGGATGAGCCTAGAGTTCACTGCTCCAAGGTGGGGACACCTTGGAGTGCCCTTGAGATCTCAGAAGGACAGACTTCCAATGGGAATGACTAAGGCACACCAGCTTTAACAAGACTCAACTTCAGCTGTCACCCCTGGAATTCCACCTGCCAAGATGAAACTTAAGTGAGAGATCTCTAGAAGCTTTTCATCTTTGATGTCTGCATCAAATGAAATATTACAAATCATGTGGGGGGAAATGAGCAATTTACTAGATAGCAAGAAAAAGACATAGAAACAGATCCAGAAGTGATGTGGTTTATTGCAGTTAATAGTTAGGGACTTTTATTTTTTAATATTTTATTTATTTATTTATTTAATGTGCATGAGTGTATTATTTGCATGAAAGTGCACCTGTATTGTACAATGCCCACAGAGGCCAGAAGAGGGTGTCGGATCCCCTGGAACTGGAGCTATAGACTGTTATTAGATGCCATGTGGGTGCTGGGAATCGAACCCAGGTCTTCTGCAAGAAGCCAGTACTCTTAACTGCTGAGCCATCTCTCCAGCCCCAGCAGTTAATAATTAGGGACTTTTAATAAACATCATTCATATAATCAAGAAAAAAGAGAAAAGGATGGAGATTTTCAGCAGATAACTAAAAACAACCTAAAAATGATAAAAATTCCAAAAATAACATTCCTGACTAAAATGAAGAACTCAAAATACAGCTTTCATAGATTAAAAGTAGCATAATAGATATTAAGTAACAAAAAAACAAGTGTAAAGTATCCAGTTTGATCCAGAAAGATCAAAATAGTGAGAAAAAAGCAGAAAACTGAAAGCCACCTCTGGGGCATGATGGAAAGTTCTAATACATTTGTAACTGGAATCCTGGAACAAAGGAGGAGAAGGCAGGAGGAAGCAACAGTTGCAGAATTCTGGCTGAGAGTTCCCCACAGGGATGAAAAACACTGAGCAGAGTCTCAAGAAGCTCCACCAACCTGGAGTGTGGATGAAACACAAAAGATGCGTGCACTAGGCATCTCACAATAAGATGAGTGAGAACCACGCACAGGTAGAGAAAAACAAGCTAAGGCTCACGCTCTTCCTTTCAGGGCAGGGTATGTGTGCTGGATCTCAGCCAACAGTTCCAAGAAAAAATGCACCAAGAATTTTGACCCAACTTCTAAAACACATTTAGAGTTTCACTGTTACTGAATTATAATGGATCCCAATCCTGGGCTGCTGGCTACGCTGTTGAACAGAACAGCTCTTGCTCCAGCTCCCCACTGGCCATCACTCTCACATTAGGACAGACTGTTGGCAAGTCAGGGTCTGTGATCTGCCATTGAGCAATTTAATGCTTCACCCAAAAGGGAGAATATAATTTCACAAAATAAAAATGCCTTCGGCCTTGGAGGTTGTTCTGCATTACCTGTCCTTCTGTGACCTACATGGCTGTCCTATACAGGGCACTGGTATACCCCACGAGCTGGATATAGCAAGTTCAGAGGACACATCGGGGCCTTGGGGATGGTTGGAAATCTGGGAACCTGACTCTGCACAGTCAGTCTGCAGCCCAGTTCCTGCTATCCCTTTAGCTCTCTGTTCCCCTCCACTGGCTTTGGCCCCTAACTGTGGCCTGCTGGTCAGTCTATGCATTTTGCTATTCTCATCTGTCTCTGAGTATCTCTGTAACACTCTCCAAGTCACTTTCACTCTGTGCATCTTGAATTTTCCAGGCACCACTTGTGTTCTGAGGGCTATGGCTGGGTACAAGGATCCATTTCTGGTTTCTGGGACATCTGTCATCTGCCCTGTGGTTATCTTAGTGCCAGTGAGTCAGAGACTGGGGCAGAGTCTTTACAGCCTTCTGACCACAGACAGAACATGTTGACAGTTCCCAAGTTCTCTCTCTCTCTCTCTCTCTCTCTCTCTCTCTCTCTCTCTCTACTCTCTCTCTCTCTCTCAGACAATCAGGTTGACCTCGAACTTGGAATCCTCCTGTTTCTGCCTCTCAAGTGTGAGGAATATAGGCATGTACCACCATGCCCAACAACAGTGAATTTTTAAAAATTTTTACTTGTATGTTTGTATCTGTGTGTGTGTGTGTGTGTGTGCGCGCACACACACACACACACACATTTGCTATGGTGCCTGTGTGTGGAGGTCAGAGGATAACTTTCAAGAATTGGGTCTCTGTTCCACCATATGGGTTCTGGGGATGGAATTCAGATCATCAGGCATGGTGGCAGGCATCTTACCCACTGAGCCATCTCACTGGCCTGCAGGAATCTTTATACTTTAAAATGACTGAGAAACTCAAAGAGCTTTCATCTATGTGGTGTGTCTACTGGTATTTACAGTATTTAAAATTCAAATTAGAAAAGTAAAAAACATTTGTTAGCCCATTTAAAAATAAGCTTTTAGCCAGGAATGGTGGTGCAAATCTGTAATGCCAGCACTTGGGAGGTGGAAGCAGGAGGATCAGGAATTCAAGGCTGGCCTCTCCCACGTAGAGTTACAGGCCACTCTGGGCTACATGAGATGCTGCCTTAAAAAACAAAACAAAACAAAAAACAAAATAACAACTACCCCCCCAAAATAAACCCTAAACCACATCACCCAAACCCACAAATAAAATATCTACATATTGCAAAAATATTTCAGTGAGATAATTTAAAAATAAATTGGTGCAAAGAGTGGCATTATTTAAAAATTTTTGCAAATGTCCCCTAATTGTCTTAGTTTGCTAGGGCTGCAATAACAAAAATACCACAACATGGCTTAAACATCAAGAATTTTAAGACCAGTCTGGGATATATAGGAGGACCTTTCTTTAAAAAAATCCAATCTAGCTGGGCGTGGTGGCACACACCTTTAGTCCCAGCACTTGAGAGGCAGAGGCAGGCGGATCTCTGTGAGTTAAAGGCCAACCTGGTCTACAAAGTGAGTTCCAGGCCAGCTGGGACTACAGGGAGACCCTGTCTCAAAAAGACCAAAAAAAAAAAAAAAAAAGCCTAGCTATTCTTCAGTTTCCCTGAAACTATCCCCACCCCATAGAGACCATGAGTTCCTGACCTGTTTAAGAGAAAAACAGCGGTGAACTTTAACTGACTTATGTAAATGTATACTTGTGTTTTAACCATGATGACTGGTTCTCTGTATTCCTGCTATTGCAACCTTTCTGAACATGTATAAAAGGCTCTTACAAGCTGTCTTCAGGGCTGCTCTCTGTATTCACTCCTGGAGTACAGGGACAGCCCAGCCATTAATAAATCCTTCTTACCTCAACTTCGACCTCGTGGTGTGGCTTGGTTTCTGGGTCACAATGAGATATGACTTCTTCAGCATCTAGTTCAGATGTGTCGTGTAAGGTGGATGGAGTATCATGTCCATGGTCTAGTAAAACTTCCTGGTAACTGGTTTATAACCTCTGGGTTCCCATTTTGACTCCAGGCCTTTCCTAGCACTCCCAAAACTTCTGAGTACTGATTTAGGGACTTCTGAGGATTTATTTTTGCTATTCCTCTCTACGCTTGACATAGGACATGAAGTTCTGAAGATGTGCATAGAAGCATCTACCAGAACAAGTCCTTTTGGAACCACGTTGAAAGTGGAACTACTTTCTGAGATGGCAGGCATCTGGTCCACACCTTGGACAAAAGTTTGAGATATTCTTCAGATATATTTTTCGTTTAGAATTTCAATCAGCTCCAAATGAAACTCAGGGTAAGAGGAATAAGATGCTGAGTTGCTTCTTTGGAACCTACATAGCATCTGAACCAATTCCCATGCCCTCACTTCCATGAGCACCCTGTTCCCACTAACAAACATCCAGCACCTAAAAAGTAGTTTCTGGTATACAAAGTTGTACACTAAATTGACCTCACAAGCAAAAAGGTTTTTTCTTTTTATTTAAATATTACACACGCATTCCAAAGAAAAATTCAAAGTTACAGAAAATTACAGAAACGTCAAAAAGCATCTGATGGTCTACCAACTCTGGAGCAATTATTAACTTTCTGGGACTACTTTTTCATCTCTCTAAATGATTCACTTAAGTATATAACATTACATACAATTTTATACTTCACATGCCACATTCACATTTTTCTATGTTTACAGTCTCTTGACCTTTTATCCTTTTTCCTTCCCTGCCTTCCTTCAAGGTAGCCAATACTGACAGCTTGATATACTTTCTTCCATATCTGTCTTTCTGCAAATCTAGTCACACATGTGAATACATAATGTAATTACTAACAGAATGAGATCAATGAAATTTTATATACACATATCTATTAAAACAAAAAATCATTTATCAAAACATTATGGAGAAAATATTGATGTTAACTAGCAGATCTGTAACTTATTTTAAAATTATCCATCCTGTCCCAGAATAGGGACATAAAAAAATTTATCCAACCATTGTCTTAACTGGTACTTTGTTTACAGTTGTGACTTCTTTTCTGCTCTATAAAACAATACTTCAATAAACATCCTTATTTGTTTATATTCTTATACTTGATGGTACTTATATTTCTATTGATCAGATTCCCAAGTGAGAATATTGGGTCAAAGGATATTTTAAACAGTATATAACTGCTGGGTTGCTGGTGGAAATGTAAGTTATGCAACCTTTAAATAAGAGTACATGGCTTCCCCAAACTCTACTCACAAAGAAAGGTTAAATGTTGCCAACTCTATGAAGTAGAAGGTTCAGTCCATTTTAAATTTGCATTTCTCTGAGTACTATTTAAATTAAAATCTTTTCATAGGTTCATGCTCATTTGAAGCTGCTCTTCTATGAGGAACAATTCTGTCTAGACAGGTTAAATGTAAATAATAAAATATCAAAAATTCCCAAGCAAATTTAGAAGATCATGTATAACTTAGGGACCAAAACTCAATAAAAAATATTTTTTTAAAGCAAGAACCTAGGCTGGATGTGGTGGTTCATGACTTTAATCTCAGCATTCAGGAGGCAGATCTCTGTGAGAGCTAAGCCAGTCTGGTCTACACAGTGAGTTCCAGGCCAGCTGGGGCTTCAGGGGGACCCTATCTTGAAAACACACACACACACACAAAATCAAGAACCTAAAAAGATACAGATATTTTACTATAAAATTAAAATGTTGTGACTTTATAAAAGTATACAGACAAATGTTAGATTAAGAGGAACGTTTGCTACACAAGTGACAAAGGAGTGATATAGAAAATACACAAAAGCACCTCCAGATTTGTAAGAAAATACAAACCCATAGAAAAATAGACAAAGGTCTATAAAGGCAAATAACTTTAATTAAATGATTAAAGTATGAACTCTGGATAAAATTTTCATTTGTCCATTACTTGTTTTTTTGTTTTTTTGAGACAGGGTCTCCCTGTAGCCCCAGCTGTCCTGGAACTCACTATGCTGACCAGGCTGGCCTTGAACTCAGAGATTTTCCTGCCTCTGCCTCCCAAGTGCTGTGATTAAAGGTGTGTACCACCATGCCCAGCTTGTCCATTACTTTTATCTACTGTGAATTTTCTTAAAATTTATAAGAATTCAAACATTAAAAAAAAAAGAATTCAAACATTTACAGAGTTTTTCTTTAGTGTACAATATCTGGTCAATTTCTATTGGAAATTTCCCTATATTTATTAAGCATAGCTTACATAATTCTTATTGCCATCCAGCCAAATGTCTCACTATTCTCTATATCACCTGAGTTCCTCTTTGATGTATTGTTTGATGTACAGTGAGGCGTGAGCTACTCCTGAAGGCTTTCTCACACTCATTACATTTATAGGGCTTTTCTCCAGTATGCATTCGCAGGTGTACAGTGAAGTCTGAGTTAGTTCTGAAGGCTTTTCCACATTCTTCACATTTATAGGGTCGTTCCCCAGTATGAATTCTCCTATGCAGAGTTAGCTGTGACAGAGTAATACAACCTTTTCCGCATTCCTTACAGGAATAGGGCTTTTCTCCAGTATGTGTTCTCCAGTGCACTGTTAGGTATGAGCCCCTTCTAAAGGCTTTTCCACACACATCACACTTATAGGGCTTTTCTCCACTATGGATTTTCTGATGTTCAGTGACATGGACCATCTGACTAAATGCTTTTCCACAGTCATTACACTTGAATGGCTTCTCTCCAGTATGTATTCGCTGATGAATATTAAAGCCCGAGTTACTTGTGAAAACCTTTCCACATTCGTTACATTTATAGGGTTTCTCTCCAGTATGCCTTCTTTGATGCACAGTTAGTTGTGATGTATTAGTGAATGCTTTCTCACATTCATTACATTTATATGGTTTTTCTCCAGTATGGGTTCTCTGATGCACAATAAGATATGACTTAGTCCTGAAAGACTTTTCACATTCATAACATTTATAGGGTTTCACTCCAGTATGAATTTTCTGATGCTCCTTCAGATTTACCATTTTGGTGAAAGCCCTCTCACAGTCAGTACATTTATATGGTTTCTCCCCAGTATGAATTCTCTGGTGTACCGTTAAATGTGATTTTATTCTGAAGGATTCCCCACATTCATTACAGAGATAAGGTTTTTCTTCAGTATGAATACGCTGATGTATGATGAGAGATGAAGAACGCATGAAGGCCTTTCCACACTCATAACACTTATAGGGCTTCTCTCCTGTATGCATTCTGTGGTGTACAGTTAGGCATGAATAATTAATAAATGCTCTTCCACATTCATTACATTTATAAGGTTTCTCTCCTGTATGAATTCTTTGATGTTCTGTGAAATTTGCTATGCGGTTGAAAGCTTTTCCACATTCATTACATTCATATGGTTTTTCCCCAGTATGAGTTCTGATATGTACAATAAGACTTGAATTGCTTCTATAGGTTTTCCCACATTCATTACATCTAAAGGGTTTCTCTCCGGTATGAATTCTTTGATGAACATTAAAAACTGTGGTATTCTTGAAAGATTTTCCACACTCACTGCATCTGTATGGTTTCTCCTCTGTATGGGTCTTCTGATGTACACTAAGATACGACTTATTCTGAAAGGCTTTTCCACAATCATTACATTTGTAGGGCTTCTCACCATTGTGAGTTTCCTGATGCCTTGAAAGTTTGGATTTATCACTAAATGCTTTCCCACACTGGATGCACTTATAGGGTTTCTCTCCAGTTTGAATTTTCTGGTGCTGATTAAGTCGCGCACACTGGCTAAAGGATTTTCCACAGACATTACACTGATAAGGTTTCTCCTTAGTATGAATTCGCTGATGGGCCATAAGTGATGAAGAAGCAGTGAAGGCTTTTCCACATTCATTACACTGATAAGGTTTTTCACCAGTGTGGATTTTTTTATGTTGACTGAGATATGAGGGCTGGCGAAACATTTTCCCACATTCATTACATTCAAATGGTTTTTCTTTAGTGTGTGTTCTCTGATGTTGAAGGAGTAATGATCTATAACGAAAGGTCTTTTCACATGTGCTACATTTATAGGGCTTTTCTTTATCGATTTTTTTTCCCAAAGAAAATTCTGAAATCTGCTTTATGGTTTTGGTGCCATCTGTATCCTTGCAAATTATCTTCCCCAAATGGGTGTCTGTAATCAAATATAAATTCTCTGTGACATTTTCCTCATTTATTTGACATTTGCTGTAGGATTCTTCTATGACTCCTGGATCTGGAAAAAGAAGAGATCCAAGTTTAAAGTCTCTTTGAGCAGCAAGAGCTTTTTTGTGTGTTCCTATTCTTTGACTCAGATGACTCTTCTGAATATTTTGCAATTTCAGTATCTTATCATGCCATTTCCAAAATCCTCCCATTCTAGAATGCCATAGATCATTATCTGTCAGTTTCTTTACTATGGTCTTCTGTGATAAATCATCTTTAAAAATATCCTCTGATAGCATAGTATTCTTGGTTGCATGTTTGGTCTCCATATCTAGGAGGAAGGAAGAGAAAAATCAAATAACTTTTATTTCTAAGCTGGGAAAAGTCTCACCAAACACAATAATAAAAAGTAAAAAATGAACTTATAAGTATATGGTTTTCAATGCTTGCCACTTTATTTTGTTTTTATTACATTTATTTATTTACTCTTGGGGGGTTGCATTTTATTCACGTGGAGACAAGAGGACAAATTGTAGGAGTCAGTTCTCGCCGTCCATCACGAGGGTCCTGGGGATTGAATTCGGATGGTCAGGTTTGGCCTCAAGTGTCCTTACCTACTGAGCCATCTCACAAGCCCTTAATTTTATTTTCTAGGAAGAAGGTAGAATTGAAGAAGGTAGCTGAATAAAGGACCAAAGAAACAAATTTATGTATGCATGTATGTATGAGACATGTATCCCAAGCTGGTCTCAAACTGAATATGCAGTCAAGGATGAACCTGAACTTCTGATCTTACTGCTTCTACCTCTAGAGTGCGGGGATTATAAGCATGTACCACTAGGTCCAGTTTTTATGGCACTGGGGATTGAACCCTGGGCCTCATGCATGATAGACATATACTGTATCATCAGAGCTACAGGCTATATTCCTAACCCTGTAAATTTTATTTTTCAGAATAGTAAATTTAAGGAGATTTTTCTCTATTAAAGCTCATTTAAGGGGCTGGAGAGATGGCTCAGCAGTTAAGAACACTGGTTGTTCTTGCAGAAGACCGGGGTTCAAATCCCAGCACCCACATGGCAGCTAACAATTGTCTGTAACTCCAGTTCCAGGGGATCCGAAGACCTCTTCTGTCCTCTGTGGGCATTGTATGACACAGGTGTCCTACATGCAGGTAATACATGCATACACAAAAAACAAAACAAAACAAAACAAAAAAATACCTCATTTAAGCTGGGTATGGTGGTGTATGCCTTTAATCCCAGCTCTTGGGAGGCAGAGGCTGGTGGATCTCTGTGAGTTTGAGGCCAGCCTGGTCTACATATCGAATTCCAGGCCAGCTGGGGCTATAGGGAGAACCTGTTTCACACACACACACACACACACACACACACACACACACACACAAACAACAACAAAAACAACAAAAATAAAATGAAACAAAAATCTACCAAAATATTCACTCAAGCTGGGTGTAGTGGTGCATGCCTTTAATCCTGGCATTCCAGAAGCAGAAGCAGGTAGATCTCTGGGGTTTAAAGGCCAGGCTGCTCTACATAGTAAATTCCAGGAAGCCAGACCTACATAGTGAGATTCTTTCTCAAACAAACAAACAAACAAACAAATTCCAGGGCTAAGGAGTGTCAGTGGATAAAGTGCTTGCTGTGCAAGAACAAGAACCTGAATTCTGATCCCCAGGACCCATGTAAAAGAAATCTGGGCCTGGCAGCACATTCCTTGTATCCAAGTGCTGGGAGGTGGAGACAAAGAGGATCCCCAGGGCTCACTCACCAGCCTGTTTACCCAATCAGTGCATTTCAGGTTCGTTGAATGATCCTGTCTCAAAAAATGTGCATACTGAAACCTACTATTTTATAAGTTTCCGAAATATATATTCATATAAAAGAGTTTAACTGGAGTTACCCTATACAGGGGATAATACTCCTTCCAAAAGCCATAGGTTGCCAAATAAAAATCCCAGTACTGGGTGTAGAATACCTCCCCTCTCAAGCTGTTGGTCAGGGGTGTCTTGGAGACTCCTAAAATAATACAGGCCATTGCCGTTCCTCTGGGTTGCTCATCAGAACTTGATGGCAAGACCCTTATGCTGAAGACACCACATACTTTGGTCATAGAACATGGGGAAATCAAGTTGGTACTGATCAGGAAGCTTTCTCCCTGGTGGCTAGCTTTCATAGTGCTAGAAGGCCCTATCTAGGCTGCTGGGGCGATAAAGCCATCAACAGTCTTACTCAGTTGTGAAGCTTGTGAACTACAAAAATGAAAACACTGAAGTCTAGGCTGAATCTAGCCTCTGAAACTAAAAGTCAGTTGGCCTAGTGCTGGCTCCAAGAGTTCCGTGGTTCTTGGCAAGAGTGCTATTTGACGAAGTTCCAGCCGAAAGCCGATGACTGCTGCTCTTTTGGTGCATATCCCTTCCCCAGTTACTCCTGGTTTTTGTCATTTGTATATCCTTCTCTTCTTTAAGTATTCTGATAACCAACTCTGATGATGGAATGGGAAACTAAACCAGGGAAATCTCTGCCTTTAGCAGAATTATTATGTTACTGAAACAAAATGAAAGTAATAAGATAGATGACTTCCTCCTATGACTATGATCTCGTTTGGACGTGCATTTGTGATTAATAATGAGGCTTGGTTTCCCCCCAAAGGAAAAGATAGCATGCAATAGATGCCCTGCTGCCTTTTACAGGAGTTTATGACTTTTACCCTAAACGAGGAACTATTGAGACTAAAGTTTGGTATAAGGAAAAACTATTTGGCTTAGGGAAACTCCCTCTTGGATAGAAAGATTAGCTAGGTCAGTAAAAAGCTGGTGGTGCATGACCTCTGAAGAAAAATTGCCTATTCTTTTACAAAGACTAAAAGCGATTCAAAAAGCCCTTAAAGATAAATGGCAACAAACTAATAAAGGATATTGAAATAGAGAAAATAATCATATGACTCAAAGAGTACAAAAAGTTCAGGAAGAGATAGCAAAAGGGAAAGGAAAAAGATAAATTGGAAAATTGGTTAGACAATAAATAAAGAGTTGGTTATTCCCATTCCCATGAGAAAAATAGTTCTCTCAAATATACACACCTACCTGTAAATATTAAATTCAAAGAATTAAAGGGCAAATGGGGACAGACTGTCTTACACTTCTATGGTAAAATAGAAACTGCAAGGCTTAAAGAAAACAATGAAGACATTGCTTGGCTGTGTTAAGGAAAGGTTAATCATTGAACTTTGTACTTTCCTTTTACTGTGATTATTGAAAATTATTGTACACTGAGAAATACTGTGCAAACTCATGGTTGATTTATGGTCTGATGCTTTACTGCTATTGTAAGCTTTCTAATTATAAATAAAGGTTGTAGAAGGCTGCTTTCAAAAGAGAAGCAGAGACAGAAGTAGAAAAAGAAAGAAGATATTCGGGCTGACCTCCCCCAGCGGGTCAGTCAACAGCCTCTACTAGAACTGCAATTGTGGTTTCTGGTATAGTCATTTCTACCCCCACAGTTACCTTCACCCCTTCAGGCCCCGGACTCAGCTGGAGCTGGACTCCGGCAGCCTAGGGTATGGGAACAGAGAACAAGTATGTCAACAGGCCACTAGCTGCCATGAGAATAGGTCAGCATGTCCTTGGTTGTTCCTGCTAACCACAGATTTTTTTTTTTTTTTTTGGTCTTTTTGAGACAGGGTCTCCCTGTAGCCCCAGCTGTCCTGAATTCACTATGGAGACTCACAGAGATCCACCTGCTTCTGCCTCCCGAGTGTTGGGATTAAAGGCGTGTGGCATGCGCCACCACACCTGGCAACCACAGATTTATGCCTTTTGTACTATATGTTTGACTTGCTTGTGCAAAATGGGAACTGTTGTGGGGCTCTCCACCCCTAAGCTATGGAAACACTTGGAAACTTAAACATCTCACCCTGGATGTAGTTTTTCTGTATAAAAGCCTACCCTAACACCGACAGGGCACTGTACTTGGGTTCCAACACCCTTGTGCAATCACTGACCAGCTAATAAAAGACTTTCATTTGGCAAAACTTCATCTGAGTGGTGTTCTCTGTTATAACACCTCACAACAACATGGCAAGATAGGCCCTTGGGTGCAATAGTGGTATGAATGCTATGGGGATAACTAGCTGCTTTCTGGTTAGTTTTAAGGCTTGATCCATAGGAAAAACACATGCCTGGTACTGTGAATCTGGCCAAGAACTCATGGTTTGGGACCTTATAGGCTCCAAGGGTAAGACTCCTACTATTATTCTACTAAATAGAATATCAAGTTGCACTCTAAATTTGTATCTGTATACTCCTAGGTTAGTGCAGCTCTCAAACTTTATCAAAGAAGTTTTTGTGCAGTGGATGGTGGTTAGGGCAGAAACTCACAACTGGTCAAAGTGAAGAGATAGTGGAGTGCTCTATCACAAATGGGACATCTATATCACATCTATATCACAGTCTCCCTTTAAGCCTCAGGGATCATTATTGGAAGAGGGGGGTGGAAAGACTGTCAGACCCAGAGGTCAGGGAGGACCAGAGTAAAACAGTGTCTTCTGGACATGGCAAGACCATTGCACTCATTAATTCACAGATGTTGTGGTTGCCTACAGAAGACCTGCACAAAAGCAAGCCAGCCAGCGTTCTAGCAAGAAGGTGGGGAGGGGCCCACAAATCCCTACCCCTAACTGAGGAGCTACTGACTCTAGGGGAAGGAGAGTCAGCTTTCTTTAAGTATGTGGCCCCTGGCAGGTTGACCATGCTCTAGTGGATAGCTCTATACCCATGAGTATACAGGCAGCACACAATGAACTCTGCAGTTTATTTTTAAAAAGAGGACATGAATTTTGGGGTGGTGGGGGTGTAGTTCTGGGAGGAGTGCATGTGTGCTTGTATATATCACTGTGTATACACACATACACCCCTCCACACTGTTGGGAGCTATTAATATAAGCACAACCATTATGTACACTGAGCTGTGGCAGGCTTGCTTATTTACTTTATGATCTTTCACCTTGACTCAAGAGTTTGTGTTTTGCATACCTGTACCTAATTGTTCTGCCAAGTCAGGAGGAATGTGTTGATAATTTAGGGAAGATGGTTACTTGGTGGAATTCACTACAAGTATTTGACCGTTCCTTGACCCTCAGATACAGGTGGAAAAAAGAGCTGTTGAAGCTAATTGAGCTAAGCAAACTGCGGCTATCTCTGATGTTCTTCTGTATAAAAAGGAGGAGCTAAAATAAACCGGGGCTGCAGTCTCTACTGACGGTCCTCCCAAGCATCTTTTCTCTGTCTCCTGTTTTTCTTTCAATCCTCAC